ATTTGTTTTCAAAAATATCTGTACATGTCACTGAAAACAATCACACTGTAAATCTAGACGAACCCTGTATACTGGCATATGAAAAAAATGAAATTAAAAGACAAATAAAAGAGACACTACTGACGCATGAACAAAAAAAGGTAGCCTACAATGATATTTCATTAAAGACAGTGATATTCGATTAGACAGTCTAGAAAATAACAGTCCAGAATAGAAAAATGTAACCGTCACTCGATTCTATACTACATACTTTTCTATGTTAAAGTTTTTCTAGTATTTTCGTTTTCCGCAGTTTTAACTAGTATGTATATTCATTTCTCTTCTAAATTCACAGTCATATTAGCCTGATGATGAAAAGCCTGATCGAAAGCTCGCTTCTTGTGTAAAATGATTTTACAAAAATGTTTTTCAATTATATTAAATATACTTAGCTTTATAAGAAACGTAAAAGAGTCAAAGAATGTCAATATCTACACGTCATACAAATATATGTATCTGTAACTACCACAATCACTGCTTATCTAACGTGTTTCAGACAATAACAGCTCTGTACATAGCATCCAGTCATTTATCTTAAATGATGGCAGAAAGAGACAAAATTGTTAATCATTATTACCGGTCGTTGATCCCGTCGAAATACAAGTAGAGACATGTTGAAGTATCGGCTCAAATTGTCTATAAAAGATAAGGAGAAGGAACATACATTCTCATCGATTTAAGCGCCTTACAGAAACTAAAACTATACTTACGTTATTGTACTTTTACGACGAGCAGTAGGAATGGTAGTTGTTGTAGTTCGTGTCGTTGGTGTTGTCTGCAGTGGTTTAGTAATGATTATCGTTGTTGTCGTTGTTTTGATTGTTGTTGTTGTAGCAGTAAGACGAGTAGCCGAAGTTCCGAGTGTGTTTGGTGGTGTTATGTCTAAGTAAATTTTACAATAACTTTTTACAATGCCGTCACCGTTTGCTTATTGTAATATTCATAGTGGAATAAAATAAAAAAGATTTTGTAGTCTGGAAAATGGCGATTAAACCTTAAAAGTATGCATCTCTTTTAAGTCAGATTATTTGTCGAGGCTGAAAATAATTTTATCAACCTCGAAAATGTAGTTTTGAGCTAAAATCTGGTGTTTCAATCTTGGGCATACAGGTTTTTGAAAGTGCACTCTTCCGTATTTAAGCAACTCTTGAAAACCATAGATACCACTCTTTTCAAGAGGACTTTCTATCCAGTGGTGTATATATCGCCGAATCCTAATGCGTACTGTCAGAGCAAATTAAGGTAAATTTTTAGATAAAGTTTTCCTTTTTGAGTTAAATATTGCACATTATAGAATAAAGTATCCTCTACAAAATAAGACCACTCCCAGCTCACTGCTATGTTTTCTGATAGAGTTATCGTCATTTTGGATGTTGTTTCACAAACGTGACTTTTTCGAAGGCGTTCAGCAGAATGATGATAACTCTATCAGAAAACATGGCAGAGAGCTGGGAGCGGTCTTATTTTGTAGAGGACACTTTATTCTATAATGCGCAATATTTAACTGAAAAATGAAAACTTTTTCTAAAACTTTACCTTAATTTTCTCTGATAGTGTGCATTAGGATTCGGCGATATATATAAATACACCAGTAGATGCATGTGGTTAAGATCGTAAATTTGTTTCCGAAAGAAATGAGAAAAAGAACCCAAGAAGAATCGAGAATCCTTTTCAATGACCGCATTACCGTAAGGTAATCGTTACCGCATATGATGATAACATCTTGCGTGAACTTGTGTAGAATGTTTATCCGAGAGATACGGACGCTCAAACCACTCGGATTACTGATACGGTCGAGCCAGAATGACGTTTTAGACCTGTACTCTCTATATCTGCCGTACTGACTAAGTATGGCTGTATTTCTACATCCACAAGCCACCAGCGATTACCGAATTATTACACCGAGGCTGTCACTTATCTCTCTTCTCTGGCAAACTCCCATATATTCTGACATTCTATTGAGATTGCGCAATAATCCATAGCGATGAGACATGGATTGTTCTGCCATTTGTAGTAGGGTTAATAAGCGTTCTCAGAACCTTTTTCTACTCCTCAGGAAAATGAGAATAGTTTTGTCTTTTATTCTGTTCCGTTTTCCCCAAAGCAACACTCCAATCTTTTTATTCTACTTGTTAAAAGCCATTTCCGCTGCATTTCCTTTATTGTCGCATCACTAGGTGTGTGACAGTTCTAAGTTCACGAGAACTGTCGTAAAGAACTGGTGTCTAGTTCCAATTCCTGAGAAAGGAACTGATGGTCAGGTCCAGTTCTTAAGAAAAGAACTGGTGGTGAATTTCAGTTCTTTTTTGAAGAGCTGGAACCGGTCACCATTTCTACTCAAAAGAACTGGAGCTGGTGATTCTTTTTAAAAATAAAATCTAAATACGTTAGAACGTTTATCATTGAAACAATTCGGTGACGTTGTACGTATATATTCTCAACTGTGTTGAGAGACAAGTTACAAAAAGGCAATCTCAAGAACTGAGTACGTAAGAGCTTTTCTGTAACGAAAGCGCGGTTGGCAAACAAAATTTATCGAGTTCAAACATATCAAAAACACCACTGTCAGTTCGAAAACCGTCTGTTCCCGAACCGCTTATGATAAAAGGAACAAAGAATCAAGGATATCGATACGATCAACAATAATCATAACGTTTACAACAAGGAAAATCACAATGTCATTCATGTTTAATTTGTGGATGAAAAGATCGTCGAATAATTAATTGCTATTATCGAAAACCAAATGGTTATTTTGAATGTGGACAATCTCATCATATGACAGATTGTACGTTGATTTTTCGATAACAGAGACACATGATGGTGTAATAATAGTTCTATTGATTTCAGATGAATACGAGTTTTGGTTCTTTTTAGAATTAACTTTTGGGTTACATCGTAAAGGCTGAAACCACAGGCGAGTTTACCTGACTAACATGCTTGAAGTCGAGTTTACTTTACTAACGTTTTTCTGGATCATTTTATAATGGTGTGAATTAAACGACCAGAAAAATGAACAATTAACGGTTCCATTGTCTACAATTTGAGAGTAACCAAAGAAAAGTACCTGCTGTAGAATTTTCACTTGGACATATTTCTTCACTAGCATTTTCGACTTTATCCTACTCCGAAAAACATTCTAAAACGATTTTATGATTTTCTCGTATTCTTTGGTCTGAGCAATCAGGGGCGTAAGTCCGCCATAAGAAACCGTTTATCGGATGTCTAGTCAAGAGAAAAGTGGCTCCAAGTAACATAGTTAGGCAAAAAGCATTAGACTTTTCGGCGCACAAAATGATGCGATAATAATTGCAAACGGGCATCTGTTATTTGCGCAATGTTGTATAGAGCGAGCATGAGCTATTATACGCGGCACAATGGATAAATAAATTTTATTTTCCTAGATATGATTTCTGGAGTCTTCATTCAACATTATCTGCAAATTCAAGCCTTTAGCTCTTATAAGCCTATTTTCAAATTATGAGAGTGAGTCACCGAGAGATAGTCCAGTATACGCTTTACATAATGTAAAGTTCAGAGTCCTAAAACTCTGAATTCTGAGCAGAATTCTTAGTAAAAATAGATGTGTATAGGCGAAGTTTACATGCACGTAAGATTGATCGTTACATTATAATAAGTTTCTTTTGGTGCAATATGACGTTTATCAGCGTCTAATGTTTCTGCGCTTCGCTGCCATTTTGGAATTGTTGGCGTAGAGGGCTCGTCGCGTTTCAATTCAAAATTACTGATTCTTGCTTGGTCATTATGTAGCTCAAGTTCTGAAATTCTGTGCTTCCCGGGTCATGTTCTTTTGAACTTTTACATTTTGTAATAGCGATCGCGCAACCCTCAGAAAAACACTCTCAAAATTCTCATAATTCCCATAGTTCGCATAATTCCATACTCTTAAGCGTATACCATACTATAGCGCCATACTCTGAAGCCCCTCCTCTGTCAGAAACCTATCTCTGATAGTATAAGTCCGATCTTGACCAAAATTTTCAGAGATTTTCACCTTGCGAAAGTATAGTGATGAAATTTTTGTACAAATTCGAAAAAGTCTCATTAACTTGCATAAAGATATTTTGCCAATCAGAAATCTAGACCAAATAAAAAATCGGACTCTATTAGCCTCTAGTCACACATATCTCAGCTTCAACTTAAGGTCTTCCAGAGCTCTCTGCGATGTTTCGTTACCGAGACATCTTGTAGCTACGAAATGGTGTTAAGGTGAAAGTCACTTTCGAGATATGGGGCGCCAGTATCTAATGCAAGTTTTGGGGCTTCCAGCAAAACTCTCATAACTTTTCATTAGAACGTCATTCAGAACTAGGAGATATCTCATTTTGATCAGAAGTGTTTGTTCTATTTCCTAGTATTATTGAAAGTACTTTAGGGTTTGTTTTTTTATCGAAAAGTAAACTTTGCTAAAAATCCCCATAACACTTCGATGAGATCCAAATAATATCGAATCCTGATAGTTGTATAGCTCCGAATTGACAATTCAGTTTTTTTTAGTTTGTTGAAGAATTTGTATAGTTTGACGAATTCGATCTTGCACGTTGTTGTTGTAATTTTGGCACTAACAATATGCAAAACGGCACATTGCCACCATTGCTGAATTGACGTTTAAAAAAGTCAGACAATTTTGCCGAATTCGTGTCTGCACATTAGTGAGCCTGCTTTCAACAATGTACAATTCGCTCTCACTTCGGAAATGCAAACTGTTGAGACATAAAAAAACGTTCAACAGTTTCTGAATGCAATTCGCTTCTCGATACAGTTCGTAGATTTGGTATGTTTACACAGTGCTCGAAGTACCCGTTAATTGCACCGAAGTACAATTCGCATGGAAAAGCGCCATCTGCGAATTCGTGTTTGAACGCCTTGGCCGCACCACTCTCTTTAGTAACAATTTTACCTCAATCAGATAAAACGAACTGGGGGGTGTTACGTGTGTTGGTTAAAATGTTAGTATTCTAGTATTAATAATACACGATTTCTCAATTCCTTTTCCAGGTGACATCATACAAAATAATTTCTATTCTAATTGAAAGAGCGGAGTAATCGTGAGATGTTCTGCGCAATTCAGTTATGCAAAGTATATGTTAGAACTATCTGACAGAAAAGCTGGATGTTAGTATTTGCATTGGAAACTGACAAAACTACAGTAGTATAGAGGCTTGTCCTTGATTTTAATTAGAGTGTTAAGAGATCATTGCCTCTTTGCACGAATTCTAGTTTAGACATCTCCATGGACTGACGGGTGAATACAACAGAAGAATATCGTATGTACGACTACGGGGTAGAGATAAGCAACCCTATAAGTACCCGACTCGAAGGTTGGGTATGGGGAGGAAGGTTTTGGGTAGGGATTCCGTTTTTAACGTACCCGAAAACCGGAAGGTTTTAGTGGAAAAATGCAAGATTTTAGCTAAAATACATAAAAGAGTTACTTGAGACCGTAATGATGCCTTGACATCTCCAGCCGAAAAACAAACGGTTTTAGTTGAAAAACGAAAAGGAGAAAAATTTTCGGGTCGAGTACGGTTAGAAAATTGGTAACCGGGCACATCTCTACTACGGAGGATCAATAAGATGAAACTGAAGCGATGTTTGAACAATTTTAATGCTTATCACATATCTTCCAAATAATAAGAAGAATAATGTCAAATAAAACCCTCTGTTACAATCCACCCAAAAAACTTTCAGAATCCTGCAATGGCACACAGGATTTAACAAAATTAATCCGGTTGTTGGCTATATCCGACAGGTTTTTTACCGTACCTACTTTTCCAGATTTTTTTTCTGCAGGATCCTGCAAGATTTTTATTCAACTACACTCCAAAGGAGTTGTTTTCATTACACCTCACAGAATTTTTCACTGCACTAATCCAGCAGGATTTTTTTCTCTCTATTTCTGCTTGTTTTAAGAAGAGGTAACTTACTAGTTGTTTGTCTCTTTGTTGTCGTTGTTGGAGCTAAAAGGTGACATGCCAAATTAGCACCAATACAGATCATTCGACTCTAGTTTCCTTACAGATGTCTGAGTTTTCTCGTCGCCAATGAAATTGAACTGAATCAATGAGATCACCCGATCGCCCACTAATGTATTTTAAAATGTAACCGTCAAATTTCTCAGTAGATGTAGTTCCTGTAATGTTCGTTCCACACATCTGTTGACTCATCCTTCCACTGTTCGTAATAAACTGAATGCCAAGAATAAGTTTCATTCCATAATATGTACCAGTTTTCACTTGAACGATAGAAATCTCTTCGTTTTTGTTCATTGTAAAAGTGTCCGTGTCACACAATGAAATGAATGTGCCGCGATGTGTCGATATCAAAGTTGGCGGATCCGAGTAGTACATCCGGATCGATCCTAGTAAACCTTCCTGACATCGTACGTTAATTTTGTATAACCGATGACTGTTAAACAAAGCGGCAGATTCAGTGACTGTATTAAATTGTACACCTCCGAGTGGATTTCCAAACACTTGCCCGTGTCGGATATCACTCCTAACTACGAAAAAATCTTTTATCGTTAACTATCCAGATACGACTACAAAAACATACAGTCTGCTTCAGCTTTTTTTCCATAAAGAGCTTGTATCGCTTGTTGATCAACGAATGTTAGTACGTCAGATCGTTGTTTTAGCTGATAAGTCGGGAACATGATCGACTGTCTATTTTTTACATGTTCAAGACCTAACGCGTGACCGATTTCATGCATAGCGATAAGAAACAGATTGATCACCGTTTTTGATGTCGAATTATACCTAAACAGAAAGGAAGAAATAGCAAATAAAGCGACCATATAACGTGTTAACTCTATGTACAATTCTGTCCATGTGTCTTGGGAATCGAAATGGATTCTACCATCAGTTGGCAAAAACGCGTGCGCTAATGTTTTCTCGTCAAATGGTACACCATCGCCATGATCGCCTTCCACGAATTGCAGTACAATATCTGATAAACATGTTTTACAGACCATTTCAAATGTTAAAGGCGTGTGTTTTGACCATTCGTTAAATGCATCCTGCACGATGCTAATCTGATTCGCATAACTTATTTGCTGGAAATCGACGTGCGATTCAAGACGATAGGTTAGAGAGAGACGAGACCATTTTTTATTGCTGATTTCCTGCAATATGTTTACATCTGGCTTATCCAGCACCGAACATCGCGGCAGATTCATAATAGCCTGTGTTTCCTTATCTGCAACACCGGTCATATTCAATCCGAAGTAACGTTGAAATTCGGTGAGCATCGAAGCAAAATTTTCACTACACTGAACAGGCAATGAAGCATTGCACGAACTGTAACCGAATCGCTTCAGATAATCCAGCGCATCATCTTCACTGTCCACTGGATTGCTAGCAGAGGGAAAGATAAGCCCGATTAATATTGGTATGATTAAGCTAATTTTTGTGATCATCGTGTGCTAGAATAACAGAAATATGGGTGATGTTCAATGTACAATTCCATATACATGTGGGAGTACAAACTAAAAGCTAGGGAAATTTAAAATTTTTCTAGATTTTAGTTTGTACTACCACATATACATTATTCGCTCTGTCGCTAAATCATCTACTACACATATGATTATAACGATCTTCTGAACAACTCTCAGGATGATCGATGCAAAAAAACAGAACAACGAGCATTTACTCATAGGACTAGATTTCTTTGAAATTGTACTAGCCATGTCAGCATCCTTCTTTATCAAAAGTAATGAGGTCCTGATTACTCACTTTTGATTTTGATACAAGATAAATAACGAGAGAGTACTCTGTGAGAACAAGCATCAAGATCTATGATATATATACATAATGTTGTTCTTCACAAATGAGATGAAAGAAATAACAGAGCAAGATGGCTTTATAGTTTTTTTCCATAATTTCTATAGTACGACAAAATATGCTATAATTCTTCGTCAGTCTATATAGGAAAAAACAATCTATAGACGACGTAGTGTTACCACACCTACAACAAATAGAATATTTCTGTTATTGCGTATGATAGCCGCACAAAAACAACGATTTCTGTACTATCTTTCTTCCGTTCTGCATCTCGCAGTATGAATACTAACTACAATGAAGAACTCAAAGGAAACAAGATATGTCTGTATAACCAAACGAAAAAAACTAGGGTAACAAGTAGCAGTTTCTACTGAACACCAGGTTTTGTTTGTTTCTGTAAAAGCAGATTTTGTCTCCAAACAAAAGTGTATCAAAGTCGAACGCTACACGAAAAATCAAATAAGGGTATCTTTATTGTTTATCAAATGAGTTTCTACAGTAGATATCGGACATACTATCAACGATTTGTCACAAATATATTGTTGTCTTCGTCTTCTTTTCTTTTTGCTATTAATAAGATTGTTTTCTCGTATATAGAATGACGAAGAATTATCATATTTTGTCGTATTACAGAAATAATGAAAAAAAACCATAAAGCCGTATTGCTCTGTTATTTCTTCCATCTCATTTGTGAAGAACAACATTATGCAAATATCTAACATTATTATGTTAGGTCACGCACCAGAGTCGTGGCATATGGGAAAACACCATAGCTAAGGTTATTGCGCAAGAATATTCAGTGTTATTGCGTCAGCCTCAGTCAACGAGATAGAACAGTTCTGGGATTATGCAAGAACCTAGAATATGGCGTGAGGTCGTAGTATTGCATAATCAGGGCATCAGACCTCATTGCTTAAGATTGTGCAACGGTGTAGTATATATGTGCGTTTTTATGTAATGGGGTGTGTGCTATCTTTGTATAAAGTTTTCTCAAATAAACACTAGATCAGAAAGATCTTAGTTCACCCTGGAACCTAACCTATATATTATAGATTTTGATGATTGTCCTCACGGTATACTCGCTCACGATTTTCATCAAGGAAGTTTTGATATTATTTTCATTCCTGGCGACATCAGATTCATAATGTGTTGATATTTCTTTACAACGACGCACAATTATCGCTGTCACGCTTAAATATATTTCGTCTTTTGCAAACTATTTTAGGGAGTTTTTGTTACATTTTAACGCTTAGTTCACTGTCTTGTATTTTTCGTTCTGTATCTTCTAAGGTTATCTTGGACGAGAAAGCAATTTAAAGAATGAGAAATTCAAATGTTTTCAAAATTTTTCTCTGCATGCATCACAACTAGTAAATCTAACCAGCTAGTGACACGTTTATGTTTTTATTCTTGAAAATGAACTTTTAAAGTTCGAAACGTTGAAAAGAATTTTCGTTTTTGATTTAATTATATATATTTCAATAAAATGAAGATTACAGCTGTTACTTTATTATGCGTATTAAAATTTTTGCCCATCCATACAGAAAATGTGTATTTTAGGGAGCATTTCAAAATTCTTTACTCTCTTACTTCTTTCCTTATTCCTTTTCTACTTTATTCCTTTACGTTTTTCCTTCTTTACTCTTTCACTGTAAGTAAATTTGAATTAATGCAATCAAATCACCCAGAAGCGATAGATATGCGTTTAGCACGGGTAAACGGCTGTATCTCTCTTAATTATCCGGTTTGTAAATTTTCAGTGCTCTGTTTTCACATGTATCTGAATAGGACCATTTTTTCTACGTTATTTACTATTATACCTACTATGTGTTATTTTACTACTGTACCTGTCTCTATACAGTAGATATGGAAACAGAACAAGGCAAAATAGAGTCAGATGTAGGAAAACATATTCTAAATAGAGAAAGAAAAAAAAACATGTGGACATCTTATTGTTGTGTAATTGAATAAGCCTTTATTATTAATATACTCTCTATGTTAAAGTGTGGTTTGATCACATTTGGTCCTGACCACTGAAAATGATACATTACAAAGTAGGTACTAGCCGACTATTTTAGACTATTATGAAAAGTAAAATTTAATAATTGATCAAAGAAAGTCTTGTAATTGTTTTCGTTACGGCAGAAGATCGTAAAGCGCTTTCCTGGTCTCCAGTTTGGCAGGCCTGGAATGCATGGTCTTTCATAGTAGTGATTGCAGCAAATATTTACAACATTCTGCTCATAAAGTTGAATATTGTTTAATCCTTTCACTAAACACTTCTTGAATATCATCTCTAATGTAGGTACCATGAATACTTTGTGTAAATCCGTTGAAGCATATCAAAATTTGGCGCCTTTTTCCCAAGGGGGTTGCCAGAGAAAGTTCTGCGCAATTTTGTTTCATGGTCGATTTAGTGGTACGCCATATTTATCTCAAATGGGTCTTAAGTTCCGAATAGGCACGCTTTTCTTAACGAAATAACGTCATGCCAATCTAAACCACCTGATGCGTTCAACTAAAGTCACATACTGCAAATAAATTAAAATCAATATTGTGAATTTTTAACCATTTATTGCTAGAACTACACTGTTGTTTTTTCTTCTGCTTCTAATTTAGAGTTCATTCTTTCACAGCTAATTTTTCAAATTTCAAACAATGGATTTTTCCTTGACAATAACAACGCTATCGATATGCATGAAATTGCCGAAAGAATCTGAACGATTGTTAATAAAATATCATTTGAAATTGAAGTTTTACGCGATCGGCAAGTGTGTGGCTGATAAAGGGCTACTTCCTTTAAATTATCACTCATCAGGACGGTTTAGTACCACCATTTTCCATAGCCAAAACAGCACCTATAGCTCAAAAATTATATAATTATATAATAAACCAATATAATTTATTTCAAAGAATGTTTCACTACATTAGACACACAAATTGTTACCAATCATACAAGTCATGTCACCTATATCAGAAAAAACACAAATACATAAAATATCTAATATGCCTAAACTACGGAAAAATGACCAGGTAACATATAGCCCAACTAGCATAAATCCCACAAAACCCTAAACCGACAAACATCATAAAGTCGAGGTGGATGACTGCTACGAAATACGTCCTATTCAACAATTCACATCGCAAACCAAGAAAAGCACTGCAGCAATTGCAAAAGACTATAAATACCTGAAATATCATAAAAGCCATGAATAACACTAATAACATAAAAAACATAAATACCTATAATCTAGAATAGCATAAAGTAGAGGTGGATGCCTGTTGCCAAATGCTTTTTATATGATCCAGAGACATTGTAAAGTATAGATGAGCACATGTCATGTAGGATTGAAACCACCGTGCTGATGACGTTGCTTCAAAAAATTACGAACAAAACTGGGGTTACCGCAGTTGCAAACTTTTCTTTTTACCTGGACTACTTTCAGCTCAAAATCGAAACTTTTTTCAAAGAATGACTACACTACAACTTATTGTACTAATCGGAAAATACAAAATTCTTCTCACTCTCTCTCAAATGCGTTAATGTCATTTTTCGTAATTTCAATAAGAATTATGTTTTTTGTTTTCTGTTTTGCAGTCTTGATAAAATCCTCAGCTGAACGACAAACCCCTCCTCCCAACACTGTCGACCAAATCAACCGTTTAACAGTACTTCCGATTTCATCAACACTCTCTTACCGTGTGAAGTGGCAAAAAAAATCCAACTTAAATTAATCTTATGTTCATGAGCTATCTGAGCAAGATTACATATAACATTAACCTTTCATGCATTTCTCACTTCTGTGCAGTTTTATTTTGAGATCTTTACACAGCAAACATTAATTGAGTCTATATACTGGAAAAGTCCCTATGTGCTCATGAACATAAGATTAATTTAAGTTGGATTTTTTTTGCCACTTCACACGGTAAGAGAGTGTTGATGAAATCGGAAGTACTGTTAAACGGTTGATTTGGTCGACAGTGTTGGGAGGAGGGGTTTGTCGTTCAGCTGAGGATTTTATCAAGACTGCAAAACAGAAAACAAAAAACATAATTCTTATTGAAATTACGAAAAATGACATTAACGCATTTAAACTGACATTGGAAAATCTCTTTAAAGTTGCAAAACCAGTGCCAGAAACTCTAAAAATTCATTGCATTAAAGTTGTTGATAAAAATACTCTTGAATATGTGAAGAAAACATTCACGCTTGGACTTTCAGAGAATGTATATTCGTAGATATTATCGCTAAGATCAGTTCGTTATTAGAGCCAATCTAATATTCTGCAAATGAGGCGGAATGGCTGAGCCACAATCCGCCGTGCGTCGAACAGAACCGAACTGATCGTCGCTACATCCTGAGAGTCACCAACGACAACGCGATCTTGCACCGAGGATACTCACAATTATTATAACATTAATCTTTCATGCATTTCTCACTTCTGTGCAGTTTTATTTTGAGATCTTTACACAACAAACATTAATTGAGTCTATATACTGGAAAAGTCCCTATGTGTGGTGTATTTCATGATAAAGAAGAACCATTTTTGATACCTAAAATGAATGAAGAAAGATTACAACTGTGCGATCGACAGTAAATAGAAAGGATGTTATATATGTCTATTCTCTCACTCACTGTAAGTGCTGTGTACTTACTCTGTAAATTGGTTAGTTTACTGAGTTAGTTCTACTTTAAAAAGGTTCGAAAGGCAGATATAAACTGCAGAAATATATATTGAAATATACCTAGTTTGAGATGACTTTCACCATCAAGATGTCTTGATATGATCATAAATGCTAGATGTTGTTCAGTGCTTAAATTAAACTGAGTTGATAATTGGTTTTCAGTTGGAAGCGCCATTTTAAAACAGGTAACAGGTGGAATGTTCCCTTGACTGTAAAGTCTAGGGTCTTATCGAGTTAAAATGCCTGTATGCATGTTTGTATGTATGTAACTCCCAAGTATGGATGTCGTGAAAAGTTTGCAACTGCGGTAACCCCAGTTTTGTTCGTAATTTTTTGAAGCAACGTCATCAGCACGGTGGTTTCAATCCTACATGACATGTGCCCATCTATACTTTACAATGTCTCTGGATCATATAAAGAGCAGAGAAAAAAAAGCAGGCTTGTAGAAATTTCTAGCTATCTATCGTTGTAAAGAAATCCACTTTCTGTTGGTAGCTCCGCTAAAAAGTGAGAGTGAGAAGAATTTTGTATTTTCCGATTAGTACAATAAGTTGTAGTGTAGTCATTCTTTGAAAAAAGTTTCGATTTTGAGCTGAAAGTAGTCCAGGTAAAAAGAAGTTTTCAGGTTTTTCCGAACGTCTTAGAAAGAGTGATTTTTATACTTTCGCAAACTTTTCCGTCATTTCGAGTACCTTGACAATTTCTTTTTAGCCATAGTCTGATACACTAAAGCGTTTTCATCTTAATGGGGTTTTTCCTAAAAAGTACGGATAGATTTTAGCCGAGACATGAGTATTACCCAAGGGGGAAAAGGCGGCTCCGGGATCCAAGCGGATCGGTGCTGATACAATCGTTTCTGAAAGTGTAAAATGGGATCCGGCTGGGAAAGGAAGTAAAATAGGACCCACAGAAGTCAGTTTAGAAAAACATCCCCCTTTATTGTATATCATCATTTACGAACATCATCCGACGGAATATGACTACGTGATATGTGAACAAGAGACCCCTGTTTCGATCACTCGCCGTGATCAGATTGGATCCCCATATGATTTCCTGAATTCCGATTTTTGCCAAAATCTAAGCCTTTTCAGCGATTTTTTAGTATAGGCGTAATAAGTTTTCTCCAGAATTCTTCCCTTTTTATATAAAACACAGTTTCTAAAATTAACATATATTCCAGACTTATCGATGTTGATCTTTCTCCGCTGCACGATTTACCATCATGAAAAATGAACTGTAGATAACATCATTCGTAATTCTTCTGTTATATATACTGTCGGAGTGCCGTAGTAACGAAAACAATTTCACTCTCACATTTTTAGCAAACTTCACTCTCCCTTGAAAAACATCTTTATTTGCATGCAAAACATTTCACTCTCTCTTTGAAAACATCTCCCCATTTTCAGAAAATTCTTACATAAATTTCACTTTCTCTTGAAACAGTATCTCTGATTCTTTTTTCTACTCGTCTGTCTCTTTCTACTGCGCTTGTTCAGAAAATGTATATAAGATGCGTTTATTATTAATAGCAGTCACCATTTCACTAGCATTTATTTACTGATGAAGATAATTTAGAACGTGTCTATATCCTCGTGTACATTCGCCGTTTTCTGTTTTTAAAAGTCACCGTCATATTTATAAATACATATATTTTTCTATTAAAATTAAAAAGTTTTATTATTTAATCAATTTATTCGTTTTTCGACGCCTTTCGCTTTATTTCATCCGCTTCTCTTATTACACAAAACATTACAAAAATCGAAAAACCAGTTTTTAAAAAGATTTGGTAAGTCATTTCGTTTTCGTTTTCTTTCTGCTTTTATTTTCTCCTCCTTTGATTTATTATTAATTGTTAAACATAGTCATATTGTTTTTAGCTCTTGTCCTTTTCGCACTTATCGAAATTGTTAAAATGTCTGACATTGATGCCTTGTCACTTTCTGGAGCCGATCTTTTTGATTATGTACGTGAGAAAACAAATGATATTATTGTTGATATTCTACAAGTACAAGAAATCTGTTCAACTCGTGCATTATTATGTTGCGATGATCCATTGTCAATATTAGAATATGATTGTGATAAACTAGCTGATATTAAAAGACGTGCTGTATTTTTTTTGAAATTGGGTGGTCATGCTGTTAAAAATGGTGTTAAGGGCAGTATGAGATACTTAATTGATAAGTTAAAGGAAATTGAAAAGAAACATACGAAAGAATCAAAAATCCAGCAGAAAAGCACAACCGATCAAACAATAACCGTGACACCAGTATCTTCTTCCGGCAATTCTCTCTCTTCTAATGCGGTACCTTCATCCTCAATAGTCGTTCAACCATCAATTGTTCACACTCAGTCATCTATTTCGATCACATCAACGTTAACTTGTGAGCAACGTAAAGATAATGTAGAAGATATGATACAATCATGGTATAAGAAAAACTTAGATGAGATTGAATTAATCCATGATTTAGATTATAAAATAATCGTGAAACAAAATACACATAATTCAAACATCTTATGTCATATTAAATGTGATTGCGGAACCAAATTTGCTTTACCATTACGTGCAGATACGAAATCATTTCAATTGTCATCGTATTACAAACATATTCGAGGAACAAAGTGTTCAATGATGTGTAAAAAAGAAAAAGAGAAGAATGATCGACGTAAATGTCAACAGCAACAATCTTCATCTGCATCATTACCACCATCAGTACTACCAACAAGTTTAAAAAGGAAAAATGATAGTTCTTCTCAAAAAAAACCAAAAAATAGAAGGACTTCCTAACTTTGATAAATATATCCAAAATAATCAAGAAAAAACGAACATTTTTTAGAGGAGAAAACTCCTCTGTTCTTAATTTTTTCTTCTTCATAATCAAGAAACCAAGAGAAAGAGAAGAAAAGAAAACAAGGTTTTTTATGTGCTTGTGTTTTTACTGGTTTTATGCTTAATTTAGAATAAAAACTTCTTTAAAAGTTACTGCAGGTGCTTTTGACGAAATTAACCCGAAGTTCATCTAAAAAATGCATGATGACAAATCTGCCGTTTCTTTTTAGATCAAATTAATTTTAGAATGTGTGGCGTTTTACATGCATCAGCCGATCTTTTGTTTTGTAAGAACCAAACGTTTTTCGATTATGTACGTAATATAACGAGTGATATTGTTGTTGATATATTACAATTACAAGAGATAAACTCCACTCAGATATTATTGTGTGTCGAAAATGCGCTAGACATATTGTATCTTGATTGTGATGAATTAGCCCATTTGAAAAAACGTGCAGGATTTACCTTGAACAACGGAGATTACATTATTAGACCGGGAGTGAAAGAGAGTTTTGATTTTTTGATCAATTCGTTGAAATTGAAGGCTAATGAAGATAAACATGGAATTCAATCAAATATTAATACTGGAAATGGTGCTTCATTGGAACAAATAGTTGATGCACTTAATAATGAACACAATACATTCATGAAAGCGTTCATTGAGAATATTGCTAATAATTTAAAAAAAACAAAAAATAATTATCAATATAATAAGTATGTTAAACGTTTTGCACTATCATTGTACATATTGGCAGGCCGAAACGCGTATGAGTTTGTACGAATTAATTTAACTGATGCCATACCATCAATAGCAACTGTAGAATCATATATGAAATGCATCAATGTTCAAATAACTGAATGCGAATTTAGATTCAAATCGTTAAAACATCATTTAGATAGAATTAATTCTGCTCATGAATTTTGTGCTGAAGACTGTACGAGTGTGGTGAAAAAAAAAGTTATGACCGTATCTCAAATTCGTTTATTGGATTTTGCACACCGCTCAACAATGGAGTACCACAACCAATTTATTACCAAACAGATAATTTCTATACATTAGAAAACTGGTTTAAAACAGCAGAAAAATCATCATTATTGAATTTACATATGATTCAACCTATAACATCTAATTTATCACAATCAGCTCCGTTCATACCGAGTATTTTTCTCTGATACTTTTTTATTTGCATTCACATATCTGTTCTCTTTTTAGCCGCGTATGGTACAAACAATAAAGTAATCTGTTAGTGATCGTATTTATTTTGCGTGGATAACCGTTTTTATGTGGTATATGTGGATTCAGTGTAATCCATTTAACACACATTCGTTCTCTCCCAGAAATAATTCAAAAACAGCAGTGAAAAATAAACAGAGTGATAAAACAAAATTTTTTATCACAAAACCAACGTTTTTCTCCATTGAATTAAATGCACATAATTTAACATATTTAAGGCTGCTAGTGATGAATAAACAATTACCACCTGAATCATTAAATATATATTTATTTAGTTCACAATCATGCGAAGCCACGTTTCGAAATTGCAGAGCGTTATCAGGAACGTTTTCATCGGCAACAAATTTTAATGTACAGGAGTTTATCAAACGAAGTGAAAAATTAGCTCTTTTAAGTGAAATTAAAACATATGAAAATTTAACGAAAAATGACTATCATATTAGATATCCTGTGCATCATAAACTTCATCATGAGAAAAAAGTATTATCTTTGGTTAACAGTGATGAACAAATAAGTATGTCCATTATAGAAGAATTGATTAACGAATCTTATGAAGTTGCAAAAGGTTTCATTGAAGAATTAGATATGTCGAATATTTTGATCGAGAACAGTTCATTTGAATTATATGAATTAAGCGAAAACGTATCGAATAAATTAACACACACTGGAAGAACAACAGATTACTCACAAATTAGCGAAATGGATGGAATTAACGAAGAAGAGGAGAGTGATATCGAGGTGATTGCTGATGAATTGACAATATCTCATAAAGATGAAAATGAAGAATTGAATGATGGTGATGAAAAAGATAATAACAACGATGATAATCAGAATCTGCCACTAACAACAGCTAGGATGGCGTTCAGTGGAATGAGAATTCATGATGAAGTCAATGCGGCTGATAAACAAGCTTATTTTTCCATAAAAGTTAACAACAGCGTAAAATATATGCACAAACAAACTGCATGCTGGTATTTGATGGGTGATAAAAACCGTTTATCATCTGATAGACTTCTACGAGTTCAGCAAAAGCAACGTTGATTTAAAATAACTATTTTGAGATGAATTTTTATCAAGTTTTACGAAGTTGACTTTTACACACTTAAACACAATAGAATGCTTTTTAATTAATTAAACAAAGTTATGAACTCAAAAAATATTTGTTTCGCCCTACTTATCTACTTAAGGCTCCGCCCCTCAGAAATGGTGATTTTCGGTCACAACATCGGTTTTCAGATACACATGGGAAGGTAGCCTGCAGTGTCTACTTTCAGAGTCTGTATCGCTTTTGGTTACAAAAGTGGTTTTTCGCGGATGTTAAGCAAGTTTTGTAGGAGCCTCGAAAAACCGGGTCTTCAAATAATAGGTTTTTTCTGGATACTTATGCAATTAAAATTTTTCTAAACACCCAGATTTGTAGAGCAAACGTTTCTGATCAAAATAAGACCTCGCACAACTCTGCATGACCTTGCATCAAAACGTTACAAGCATTTTCCTAGAAGTTCTAAAATTGAGTATTTCATACAGTGTTTAATACAGCGTTTTCTCTATATAAGAGTTACACCTGGAGTATTTCCCAAGATTTTTTATAGCAGTTTGTCATAGAGAGTTTATTCTTTTTTTGTTTAAAAGAGGAAAAGTAACTACATTGTCTAATCGGCGCCGATTTTTGAATTAGGTCTTTGTTTTTTATTAAATGAAGGATTTTCAGAAAATTCAGAAGGAGTTTTCGGGTTTTGGAGGTTGTTGGTTGCCTGAAAACCAATAAAGGCTTAATTGAAAAATCGGCGTCGGCCAGACCATGTAGTTAGGTGTCTAGCTTAAAACAAGACAAACCCGAACTCTCCAGCTTGAAGTAAGTATATTAAAAACTCTTGGGAAACACTTCAGGGTCCTTTTTGGACCTTGATCTCTGGAAAACCCCTGAACGGTAAGACCTGGAGACAAAAAAAGTTTTTCATTCCTGTAACTCATTAAGCCAAACATTTATGCAAAGTTTCGTCAAGATCCGATGTACGGTGTCAGAGCTAATTTCTGAATGGCTCTTAAAATGTATAAAAAGTTTATAGAAGGCTTTTGTACTCTTAGGACAAATTTGGGATGCTTAGGGATCCATGGGAATCTTTGCGGAACTACGCGGAATCCCGGGTCCGCCTTTTCCCCCTTGGTATTACCGCAAATGCTTCCAAGAAGGTACACTTTATAATGATACTTGTAGCTAACAAAGAATACTTAACTACAAGCGGTTCCAACCAATCACATTACAAATCCTTGGAAGAATGATCTGATCAATCTCGGACTGCAATCACAGGCACTTCAGCCCATACTAAAGACTCAATCTTTTTCTAAACCGTTTTCAGCTTCAACTTTCTGTGTTATAAAATTTTCAAAATCGCAAGCGGATCTTTACTATTAATTCTACTGACATAATTCAATTCATCCGAATGTCGCGGCGTAAACAATACTTTATTAATCAAGCTCAAATAGGTCAGTCCATTATGCATAATGTCGACTTGATTTCTACATCTCAAGCTTAGCTTGACCGTCGGCGCAGCAGAATAGCAGCGTTGTCAACCATCGCCCTTTATATTTTTCTATACTTCCCATGAAAAATTGTTAGCGTTTGAGCGGCGGACGTTTGAGCGACCCCGACACTTGAGCGACCCCGACATTTGAGCGACCCCGACACCTGAGCGACCCCGACATTTGAGCGACTCCGACACTTGAGCGACCCCGACACTTGAGCGATCCCGACACCTGAGCGACCCCGACATTTGAGCGACTCCGACACTTGAGCGACCCCGACACTTGAGCGGCCGGCGTTTGAGCGGCCGACGTTTGAGCGCCGACATTTGAGGGACCCCGATATTTGAAGGACCGACACTTGAGCGGCCGATGTTTGAGCGAATCGGACATTTGAGTGGCCACTTGAACGGCCGGCGTTTGAGCGGCCGACGTTTGAGCAACTCCAACATCCGACACTTTTCAATATGATTTTTTGCTGATCAGGAAAGTGGAATGATTATTCACTTCGATAACGATGATCAGAACAACCTTTTTGTCGTCCGATTATGAACTTAATTATTTGGAGATTTGTAGAGGGTACGGGTGAGGGTGATGAGGGGGAGCACTAGGTGCTGAACTGTCATTATTACTCAAGTGTCGGTCGCCCAAGTGTCAGGGTCGCTCAACTGTCGGTCGCTCAGGTGTCGACGCTTAAACGTCGGTTAATCATTATATTATATTGACGAGCAGTAACATACAGTTTTTCCTTTCTGTTTTTGTTCATGGTATTGCACTGATAGTATGCAATGAGAACGATCATGTTGTCAATAATACATTAAGATAATTATTCAGATA